TACCTTCAAAGGTAGTTGGAGAAATCAACACAATAGTGCATTCGAAGTGCTGGCATTGTGCCTAATAAGGTTCAGTGATGGGTAGTAGTGATGATGATGTCAGTCTTGTGGCCTCGAAGGTCCCTGAGATGAAGGGTGTCAGGGGTAGAAGAGAGATCAGCCACTCCCTTCCCTGACTGGCAGTCTCTGGAAGTTAGGCTCTGATCCCCCACCCATCCAGGGCTGGTTCTACTTCCTTCGGTCTCCCTCTTCTGGCTCCTCAGACACTCTCTCAATATTTTATGCTGATTCCTCCTGGTTAAGTCCAGGCTCCAGAAGATGTTGGTCTATAAGGCAGGTGGCTTTCTCCTTCCTGAGGCCCTGGGGGTACTCTGATGCTGCCAGGGGACAGGCGGCTGCACCTGGGACAAAGACAAACCAGAGGGACCAAGGCTGCACCAGGGCCCAGCTATGGAGAGGAGGGTGAGGGAATAAGGAACTGATGAGGAGGGGGAATGTCAGCCAGAAAAGGAGTTGTGTCGGGGTTGAGAAAAACTGGTGGGACGGCGCCTGGGTGGCTCAGTTAGTTAAAGCATCCAGACTCTTGATTTTGGCTCAGGTGGGGATCACAGCATCATGTGACTGAGCCCCATGCTCAGTGCCAAGTTGGCTTGAGATTCCCTCTTCTTCTCCCCTATCCCTCCCCCACCCTCCTTTCACAGTCTCTCTCCCACCCATTTCTCTAAAATTTTTAATAAATAAATGAATTTATTTTGTTTATTAATCAATCAATCACAAATTAATAAATAACTCATTAGGAAATAACTAAACAAATAAAATCTTAAAAAAAAAAAAACAAGAAAGAAAGAAAAGCTTGTGGGAGAGGGCAGTCCTAAAGGGTGTGCTGGAGCCTGCTGGTACCAGTGCTGGTGAGCCCATTGTACTACTGATGATCAAAATGTAATCCTTCATTCATTTTGGACTCTGCATTCAGGGATGTCCCATAGCTTCAAATCAGCCATTGTAGAAAACTAGCAGACGCTACTCATCAGAGCATCTTCCCACTAGAGAGGCGGCTTTGAGTGGGGTGTATTGGAGAATGGTAGTGCATGCAGAAACCAGAAAGAGAACTTCTGTAGAGGTATGGAATCCTGCATTTGAACCCCAGGCTTGCTACTTACTGGGTGACCTTGGGCAAGTTACTTAACCTCTCCCAGCCACAGTGTCTTTATCTGCCTTCTAGTATTGATCATGATGAAGCTTAAATTAACATACATAAAGCACTTAGAATCATGCTCTCTACATTTCACTCAATAAATATTATTATTTTGGGAGAGTGTGTTAGGAAAATGAGCATCTTAATCCTCAAGTAAACAACTCAGGCCAGTGAGTCTCAGTTGGTGCATCCCAGGCTCTGTGGGAATGAACAAAAAACGGACAGACCTCTGCCTATTCTAGACTCATGATCTACACGGAAAACCAAACATTCTCCTGGAAGTTACAGAGCACTAAAAATGCACTCATTCGTATAATACTTTACATTCCACAAAGATCTTTCATATGAACTATCTCTTGTGATCCTCACAACAGCACCCCATTTATAGAGGAGAAAATCAGAAAGAAGGAGTGACGTCAAGAGGCTCACACAGGGGGCAAGGGCAGAATTATGAGCTTTACAAGAGCTGTCACCAGATCGGTCATGGTCAAGCACCAAGTAGCGCTCCTGTATGAAGATAATACGGTAAGGTTAAGCTCCTTTCTCCAGCATCGTGGGGCCAGGGATTCTACTACGCACGCTGGACAAGCTAATTCAGCCATCCATCCAGTATCACGCAGCGCACCAGCCCGGGTTCATCTCCAGGCCACGTCTCCGGATGGCGTTCCCTTCATCTTGGGGGAATCGGTGTCCCGTCCAGGTCTCTGCGCCCGGAGTTGGGGAGCGGACCTGCGTCCCAGAGGCTGAGTCATCGCCGTTGACTCCTCTCCGTCTAAGGAGGCAGCACAGAGCCCATTGGCCTCTCCTTCCATCCCATCTCTATGGCGGAAGTGCGTGATTCCAGCCGAAACACAACAACACTCTCGGTGGTGGGCGGAATGGACTCGTCCAAACGAGGGAGATACTTTTTACTATCGAATCAAAAATATCCGAGAGGTGATCAAAACAAAAAGAAGCACGTTTTCACGGAGCAGTGTGTGGCCCTCTGTGACCGCTGGCGTGGCTGTAAGGTGCGGGGGGCGGCTGCGCTGATGTCGGGCCCGGCCGGGCGTGTTCGCACCCCCGCCGGAGACCCATGGAGCCGGTGGAACCTGCCCGGCTGGCGGGGGGCGGAGGCCCGGACTTCCGCCGCCGGCACCGCCTCCTGCCTCGGTGGTCAGGCGGCCCCGGGAGCGCGGTTTCCTTGTCCGTCGGGTCTGGGACGCAGGCTTGGGTTGGTGGGGGACCGTTTCGACTAACCGTCTGTCCCCTTCCTCTGTGTAAGCGCGGGCATTCCCCGGGCCGGCGGGAGGGACGGCGCGCCTAAACTCCCGAGTGCGGCCAGGCTGGGCGCGGGGAGGGTCCGCCCCCGCCCCCCGCGCACCTCCCGGGACCTCAGGAGGCAGATCCTTCCCTGGACTCCGGACTTCGGCGGGTTGCGGGTGGTGGCGGTGGGAGACACGGGACCCGGGTGGAAGGTCCTTCCTGGGGCCAGCCAGAGTGTCTTGACGCTGAGCTTTCTGTTTTGGCTTTTAGTCTCTTTGGGGCTCAGTCGCCGGCGCGGACGTCGAGGCGCATTTGCGCGCGAGGAGGAGCAAGGGCATGGTCCGAACCTGAAGGACCTGCGCTCAAACCTGTACGCGTAAGTGGGCATGGGGATGCCCTGGGCTCCAAGCTGGCGCTGTGCTCTGCAGACCTGGGCCTTGGGGCGTTGGGGGGGTGGGAATCAGAGATTTCATGAGATTTCAGAGAAAATTTCAGAGAAAATCAGAGATTTCATGATTTCAGAGAAATCATGAGATTTCCCAGGCTCTGCTCGAGAAGACTCCCCGCCCACAGGAGGCAGGGATGAGGGGAAGGGGACAGAAAGGTTCATCACAGACCAGATGTGGCTTGCTCTGGGAAGGAGGCTGGGGTTGGTCAGTACCGACTTCCTGAAGGAGTGCTACCAAGAACAGCTTTTTCCTAGGAAGAGCCTGGGCATGGGGCCAAAGAAAGAAGTGGCCTGGGTGAACGTTTGTGGGGGACCCCTGTGGGGGAAGTGGTGGAAGAAGGGGGAGTTGGGCCAGAGCTGGGAGCCTCTAGATGGGAAGCTGTTGAAGGGAATTATACTATAGAGAGCAGAAATGAGCGGCAGAGCTTGACTCCTCCTGATGTAGGAGAAACTGATCCAGCAACCTGTGGAAGGACCTGGAGGCTTCTGATCAGGGTGATTTGAGCAGTTACTTTGTACTAGGTTCCAGGCATGGAGTTTCCAGTAGGATCTAGTCCCTGCCGTCAAGGAACTGTCAGTCTGGGGGAGAGCCAAGACAGGATAATACCTGTGAAGGGATGACTGCTAGGTCAGGTAGACCCTCGCTGGTAGCCGAGTGAGAGGCAGAGCCAGCTTGATCTCTGAGCTGTCCACAGACTGCCCTGTGTTCACTGCTGAGCACTGCTGTTTAATGGGGAATGAGACAGACTGAAATACGCTTAGAGGAGAGCCGCCAGAGAAGATGTGATGTCCAGAAGATGTGACGTGTATGGGGACTGGGGACCTTTAACCTGTGGTAGGGGTGAGGGGTGATGGAAGAGTTGTCTCCAGATATCAGAAAGGCACATAAGTGGAAAAGGGAGACTTATTCTGTGTGGCTTCTGATATCCAAACTGTGACCAAGGGTTTGAAGCGCTAAGGGGCGGATTCCTTCTGGAGAAGGAATACCTGAGTAGAGCTGTCCAAAGACAGAATGGTTTGCTGTGAGATGTGGTAAGTTCTCCGTCAGGGCAGGTTTGTAAGCTGAATGCTCAGCAGGAAATGGGACTGTTCTTCTCCTTTGGGGCTCATATTCAGTTACTTACAAGGTCTGGTCCTCAGGTATGTTCTTTCTTTCGCACTCGGTCCACCAGTGCTGTATCATAGCCTGTGTCCTCTCTCAGCAACAGTGATACCCTTGTGAATGATAGTGGCTGGTCCTTACTGTTTACTACTCGCCAGATACTGCTTTAAGTGCTTTACAGATGCTAACTCATCCACTCCCTGGGATAGTCCTTTCAGGGTAGCTTTTATAGATCCCCTTTATATAGATTCAGGAAACTGAGGCACATAGGAGTTAAGTAGCTTGGCCAGGGTCACCCAGTGAGCAAGTGGTAGAGCTGGGGTTGCAGACCAGGCTGTCTGGCTTTAGAGTCACTGGTTTTATCCACTCTTCTACTGTAGAAGATTTTTATTTTATTTGATCATTTTATTTGATTTTTTTAATTAAAAATTTTTTTGATTTATTTGATTTTTTAATTTTTTATTTGATTTTTAAATTTATTTTATTTGATCATTTTATTTGATCTTCACAAGAATCCAAATTTACAGATAAAACACACTCAGAGAGGTTAAGTGATTTGCTTGCAATCACAGAACAAGATGTAGGAGAGCTGGGATTCGACCCAGGACTGTTGGATGTGAAAATCCCTACACTTTGCACTTTACTCCTCCATATTCCATTGTGCTGCCTCTGTAACTGTCCCTGTTGTTGTGGCCTCTAACTGGACTTCTTGTCCAGCCTTTTTGCTTTAAATCTGAAAGGTTTTACCCCAGAGTTTGTTGATGGCCCTGGTATGAGGGGAGATATGAGGTGTGTGTGTCTGTTAGTCAGGTGTCAGAGCTCAGTCTTCATTTTTTTCAAAAAAGATTTATTTATTTATTTGAGAGAACGGCAGTGCACAAGTGGTGGGGACGAACAGAGGGAGAGGGAGAATCAGGCTCCCCCCTGAGCAGAGAGCCTGATGTAGGACTCGATCCCAGGACTCTGAGATCATGACCTGAGCCGAAGGTGGAGGTCTAACCCACTGAGCCCCTCAGGCACCCTCCAGCCTTCATAGTTTTTATTGATTTCTCAGAGCAGTTTTTGGCCACAAGGTAGTTAAGGGCCATCCTTCACCTTTCATCTGGTTCACTTTCTGTTGCACAGATCTGATCTTGGCACCGTGACGTATTGGCTCTTCCCTGCCCTCAGCACAGGGTCCAAGTGCCTTAACCTGGCCATTCAAGGTCCTAGGCAGTCAGACTCCTACCTTCCTTTGCTTTTTACTCCCACCTCGTATCCTGGCCAGTCAGATAGCCTTCACCTGCGTCTCTCTCCTCCAGTCCTGTGGCCTCTCGGGGGCAGGGGCCGTGCGCGCCTTCAGTGGCTGGTGGTGGACAGGGGCGGTGAGCCTTTGTGGGACATGGCGCTCGACGCCGTCCTCAGGTCAAGTCCTGGCCGGTATTTGGACTGGTAACTTGGAAGCTCTCTCCCTTTCTGATCCTGAGAGCCTTCCTTGGCAGTATGTGCCGTCAGAATGCCAAGAAGGGCCATGGAGGCAGAGGCTGGTGGGGCCAGGAAGGCAGCAGACGGGTCACGTGTCTGTGCTCTGACCTGGCTGCTCTTGCAGGGTGGCCCCTGGCTGGGGTGAAGCCCCCCCGGCTCCTGTTTTCGTTCTTGTCCTGCCCGCGGGTGCGGGCTCCTGGCTGCAGGATGAACTGTCGCTCAGAGGTGCTGGAGGTGTCGGTGGAGGGGCGGCAGGTGGAGGAGGCCATGCTGGCCGTGCTGCACACGGTGCTCCTGCATCGAAGCACCGGCAAGTTCCACTACAAGAAGGAGGGCACCTACTCCATTGGCACCGTGGGCACCCAGGATGTGGACTGTGATTTCATCGACTTCACCTACGTTCGGGTCTCCTCAGAGGAGCTGGACCGTGCCCTGCGCAAGGTTGTCGGGGAATTCAAGGTAGGGGTGTGGCACGGCGGGTGGCAGGCGCACCACGAATGTCTCCCCCCCGCCCCACCCCGGCTTGCTCTTGGACGGGCCTTCCCTTCACGAGTGTTCCTGTTGGGTTCTTCCATGTTCTGAGACACAGATGTGTGTTCAGTGCTCCTTGCGGGGTGGAGGGCTCTGCACAGGGCAGGGGAAGGGGCTGGTGAGAACCCCCTGGGGAGGGAGAGCAGACAGCCCTTGTGTCGTGGACATTGGGTTCCCTCGGGTGCCCATTGCCCACCCCTCCTACCCTAGGCTGGACCTTTCCTCTGACTCTTCAGCTCTCCCTTCCTATGGACTCCTCTCGGCTTCCACCTGCCCTTTCATGAAATTCCTTTCCCTTGGGGAATTCCCCAAGAGGGAGGCTCGCTGGGCTCGGGTGCTCACCATCCAGCGGAACATCCCTTTGGGCAGTGTGGCTGAGGTTTGTACGTGCCTGTGTGGGCCTGGAGGAAGGTGGCAGGGACACACCAGGCTGCTGACATTGGTCACCTCGGGCAGTGGGAATGTGTATTCATTCAGGGCAGTAGTGTTTCACTGTTTCAGTGTGTGGCTATTTTGAATTTTCAAGTAAGGGGGAATTTTTTTTAAGGTGCCATCTCTGAGGTGAGAGGAGGAGGGCCGTCTCTCTGACTTCCATTCCACAAACATTTGGAGAGCCCCTACATGGTGCTGGGCGCCAGGTGCTCATGGCGGGACGTGGACCCTCCCCCAGGCCACAGTGTTCCCCCTCACTGCACTCTCTTGTCCCTCTGAGAGCAGACGGGGTAAGTTCTTTAGAGTTTCCCAGTCCGTCTTCAAGGGAGGCTGTGGTAGTCAGCCGTCCGTCCTAAGTCTGGCTATAGACGCCTGTGAGAAGCACGTAGCATATAATGGTTAAGAGCATGGATTCAGGGGCCAGGCTGTACCACCCAGCAGGTGTGTGACCTTGGGCAGGTGACGCCACTTCCCCGGCCTTCGGCTTCCCTGTATGTAAAACTGGAAGGATAATCGTACTTGCCTCAGAGGCATATGCACTATGAGGATTAAATGAGTCAAATGTGTCAAGTGCCTGAACCAGCCTGGCTTTACTGTGAGCTTTGTAGAGGTGTTAGCCATCATGACCTGTGACCTTGCTCTGTCCATAAAGGAGAGAATTATCCCTTGAAGGACAGTTCAGGACTTGAGGGAAGCACCCTTACTCTCCGAGTTGGTGTTAACTCAGAGGGAAGGGTGCTTCAGGCTCCCAGCTGCTCTAGGAGGACAAGTGTGGGGCCACCACACCCCCTGGAGGTAGGGGCTAGGCAGAATTCTTGGACGAGATGGTCTCATTTGCTTCTCAGAGAAGGGGGAGAAGCCAGCTCTGGTCTGTCCTTCCCCCTTCTATTTCTTGGTTTCCTTTTTCTTTTCTTTCTTTTTTTTTAAAGATTTTATTTATTATTTATTTGACAGAGAGAGATCACAAGTAGACAGAGAGGCAGGCAGAGAGAGAGAGGGAAGCAGGCTCCCCGTCGAGCAGAGAGCCCAATGCGGGACTCGATCCCAGGACCCTGAGATCATGACCCGAGCCGAAGGCAGTGGCCCAACCCACTGAGCCACCCAGGCGCCCTCCTTTTTCTTTTTTTTAAAGATTTTATTTATTTATTAGAGAAGCGGGGGGAGGGGCAGAGGGAGACACTGACTCCCCACTGAGCAGGGACCACCCCCCCCAACCCCCTGGCAAACCCCCTCCCCCTGAACTCAATCCCAAAGGCAGATGCTTACCCTACTGAGCCACCCAGTTGCCCCTCTTGATGTCCTTTTTTCTAGTTAAGGATCATTGGACTTTAGTCCCCTCTTCTGCTTTTCTTTAGAGACAGATCTTGTTGGTTTGCTAGGAACACTTGTGTTTAGGTGGCAGTTTGCTGTGTCACTTCACACGAATCCTTTGCCCCCTCTGCGTCTCATTCCCTACCTTCCCTGAAGGACTAGTAAAGCTAGGAGAGCCTAGTTCCCCGGGGCGTAGGAAGCAGGCACTCGCAGGGTGACTCGGCCTTCTCATCTGTTACCCTTCTTCCTTCCCCAGGACGCGCTGCGCAACTCTGGAGGTGATGGGCTGGGGCAGATGTCCCTAGAGTTCTACCAGAAGAAGAAGTCACGCTGGCCTTTCTCGGATGAGTGCATCCCCTGGGAAGTGTGGACAGTGAAGGTGCATGTGGTCGCCCTGGCCACAGAGCAGGAGCGGCAGATCTGCCGGGAGAAGGTGGGCGAGAAGCTCTGCGAGAAGGTCATCAACATTGTGGAGGTCATGAACCGGCATGAGTACCTGCCCAAGATGCCCACGCAGTCGGAGGTGGACAACGTGTTTGACACGGGCTTGCGGGATGTGCAGCCTTACCTATACAAGATCTCCTTCCAGATCACTGATGCCCTGGGCACCTCGGTCACCACCACCATGCGCAGGCTCATCAAAGACACCCTTGCCCTCTAGGCCTTACTGGAGCCACGGGCTCTCCTGGATGGCTTGCAGACCTTGGCTTCCAGGGATCGTACAGTGGGGCCTTTGGGGTTCTAGAGCCTGCTCAGGCTCCTTGGTGAGACTTGGAATGGCCACCCCTGGCTTCCTTGTTTTGTGGTTGCCAGTCCTTGGTCATCCCCTTTAACCTTTGCTCATGGTCAAGTCTGGCCTTCACTGTCTCTCTGCACCCCTGTGGGGGTCCCCCTTCCTCAAATGTATGGAAGAGCCATCTCTGGGATGGTGAATAAAATTGAGAATGTGTTTGGGTTGAGCCATCTCTCCCTGGGCCTGTGTCCTGCCCTGAAATGTCACCACTCTCTGACCTGTGCAGATGCAGGTGTGCGTTGAGGGCATTATTCCCACACGAAGGGAACGGGCCGGGGGATAGATTAAAACTGACCAGTTGGTACTTTGTTGTGGGTTCACATAAGCAGGTGTTCACCACCCAGTTGTCACTGTGGTCAGTCCTGTGAATGATGACACAGAGGAGGAGCTGTTGCTTTCGGATATGACTGCTGTTCCTTCTCCCTGAGGAAGCTGTGATATCCTGGCTTTTATATTACCTGGACTGGCTTCACGATGATTCTCAAAGAGTATCCTCTGTGTCTTCACAGTGCACATACAGGTCCCCACGTGTACCAGAAAGCTCATTTAGTTGGGGGTTTCCTTCTCTGGAGAGAGACTGGCCAACTTGAGATAGGTGTCTGATGACGCTTCTTCGAGACTGGGCCGCGCCCTGCCGGTTGTTAGGACACTGCTTTGTTAACACACTCATTTCTACAACAGGATGCTCAAACTGTGAACTCCTTGTATACTTCTTACGGACTTATTCCCTCTTTTGTAATACTTCTGGGTTATACGTGGGCAGTTGTACCAGGCTAAATGGAGTGCGGGGTGGTGCGGTCTTGCGCGAGGTCCTGGAGCAGGTAGGTGGCCAGCGTGGCCAGGAAGTGTTGGCACGTTTCTCCCATTCCAGGCACCTTGGCCCTGTGGTAGTGAAGTGTTGCCCTTGATCTCTGGGGCATTGGGAGAACTCAGGAGGTTCTCAAGGCTTGGGAGAAGGGGAAGGCCATTTCCTAGCAGGTCCTTAATGGTGTCTAATCCCTACCTGGCCTGCTGGAGTCTGGGGATCTTTTCTTCCTAGCCGGCCATCAGCTAATCCTTTCTGAGTGGCTGGTTGGCTGACAGAGTTGTTTGCTGGCCGTGACTTAGTTTTTTTTAAAAAGAGAGCTCAAGGTTGCTGTCTTTCGGGAGATCTGAGCAATAGGGTCTTCCCTCCATCCCAGCTTTTTGAGACTTTCTCCTTTACTCAGCCGGTCTCTGCTCCATGCCCAAGCCCAGGTTGGCCATGGGACACCCCGCTGGCACTGAGCTCCCCTTGGGGGGATAGGACAGTAACCTTTCCATTCTTTTCTGGCATTATAATTTCCCAGAGGTAGGGGACTGATGTACTCAGGGGTCAGAAGAGGAGCCCTGGTGACTCAACTTCGCTTGCTCATCAGTAGGTAACTTGACCTCTGGGGCCTGAGCAAAGGAATGAGGGTAGGACTTGAGGTTCTACCCTGCAGCACTCTCCTTGCTATGGGCCCAAGGAGGCACTGGCCTGCTTGTCCAACTCCAAGAGGTTCCCAGAAGGGATGATGGAGGAGTAAGCATCTGTGCCCCTCAGGTCTTGGAGGCGCTCATTTGCCTCCTGTTCTAATGGGCACCTGGGCCACCTGCAGTATTGAACTTTGGCTCAGGGACAGCCCAGGAACGCTTGCTAGTCTTGTACCCTGTTTAGTGGGGCAGCACCCCACCATCAGCACCTGGGGTGGGGTCTGGAAGATTTTTTCAGTTCGAAGGGAGGTGCTGTCTCTTGAGTTCCTTTGCCATGGGAGAAGGAAAGCCTTGGGGACCCGACTCTGGATTTGACTGGATGGGTGTATGGGCTGTGAGACAGGAAGAAATACCCCGGGGCCGGAGGAGCTCTGCGCGCAGGGTGGGAGCGAACGGAGCTTGGGATCCGCCTCTCGGGCACCTCCCCCATGCAGCCCAGGCCCGCCCGCCTGTTCTCCCGCTCGTGCTCCCGCACCTCTGGGCAGCTGGCGGCGCCACAGCATGAACAGCTCCCAAGCGGGCGCTTCGCCCCCCGCCACCTGGCTGAGCTCTTGCTGCAACGAGTCTGGGGAGCCGCTGGAGCCCCCCCGAGGGGCCGCGCGTCGTGCAGGCGGCGGTGCTGGGAGTGCTGTCGCTGCTTGTGCTCTGCGGGGTCCTGTTCCTGGGCGGTGGCCTCCTCCTCCGCGCCCAGGGCCTGATGGCGATGCTGGTCCGCGAGCGGCGCGCGTCCCGCGAGGCCGAGCCCAGCAGTGCCAGCGGAGGCGAGGACGACTCCTAGGCGCCCGTGCGCTCCAGGGTCGCGGGCCTCCAGGCGGCCCAGGACTGGGCACCCGACGGCGGCTGCGGAGCGGGGGGCACCACGTCCTTCCCTCGAGGCTGGCGCCCGCTCAGGTGAGAGCGGTGGGGGACAGCTCTTCAGCGACTCGGGTTGGGCTCTGCATGTCCACCGGGTGGGCCCTGTGGCTACCCTGGGTGTGCCGGGACCTGAGGGAAGAGGCTGCCACCCTCTGTGTCTCTCCCGCAGCAGTGTCCCATCCGTGTCCTTTTTTTTTTTTTTTAGAACGATGGTCACCAAGTGTGAGGATCACCAGGTGTGAGGGGGAGGCAGGGCGGATGGGAGAACGGCTCTGGAGGGGCCGCAGTGTGCTTTGGAGCCCCTCCCTGCATGTATCCAGCCTCCGCTTTGCCCCAGCACTACTTGGAGCTAAGGCCCAGCTCCAGCCCCCGCCACTGGGGGGCTAAAGGAGACACACTGCCCCAGAAACAGTGACGATCCAGACCTTTGGCTCCTGCTTCCGCCTCCTCTCCTTCCTGAAGTCTTGTCACTAGACGGGGATCTAAGATTCCTCTCTGTGGCCTCCCTTTGGAGGCAGAGATGGGAGTCTGGGTCCTGTTTTATGGCAGAACCAGGGGCCTGGATGACTCTAGGGGATGGGGAGGTGAGGTGGGGTCTCCCCTCCCCCAGACCCTGTTCTGGTGTGTGTGTGGGGGGCCAGGTGTGGCCCAGAGCTTTGCCTCGTGAGTGGGGAAGGTGGTGAGGTTCCTGACAGCCGGGGGCCTCATGAGCGCACTGCTGGAGGAAGCTGGGGCTGAGGATTCCCAGCTGTGGGGGCTCTGGCTCTCCTGTCTCTGGCTCTCCAAGGACAAGAACCATCTGGAGGGAAGGGCCTGGGTGGCCTCAAGACAAGGTAACTCCAGGCCAAGGCCATCTTGGGTGGAGCCATGGGCGGGGAAGCCTTCCCTGTCTCTCTCCTCTGCTTGGTGATACACCTCTGGGCTCCTGGGAGGTTTCTGTGGGGCTCTTCTTTGGGGGTTCCTCTGACCTGTTGCTTGCCAAGTGCAGAGGCAGAGTCCTAGCTTCTGCCTGAGAAGGAAGTTGGGGCACATCAAGGGAGGCTGGTGAGGGGAGGGTGATGGTGTGGGCGGGCCGCGGCTGAGCATTTGAGAAGCTGACAACGTGTGATCACTGCATGGAGCAGCCCAGGATTTAGCGCTAATCCTGGGTAGTTGTGCCACACTGGCCTTGCTGAGCTGTGGACTCCTCACTTCAGGGACACCGCTGCCACCCCTGGGAGAGAGGGCTGGCCAGGGCAGTGAGGGCTGTGTGCGTGTGACTGGCCCTGGCATCAGGGCAGCGGGCTGGAGCTGGGGGACCCGGGCCACCTCCCTTTGCAGCATGCCAGATGAGGGGTGAGAATGCTTTTTGTTGTATCCAGGTCCCTTTGCCCCCTTGCCTGATAACATTCTGCTGTTTTTCGACCCTTCCTCACCCTGTGCTCTTCTGCAACCCGGGATAGAGGAATTTCCATATCCACTCCGAACACTTCATTTTGCAAATGGGGACACTCAGAGACAAGAAAGTGACAGGGTCCAGTGAATGACAGAGCGGGAACTGAAGCCTGAGGCTCCTGATTCTGAGCTCAGGGTGGGGGCGTCCCTGTGCGAGGAGGTTCCTCCTCCAGTTATTCCTCTTGCTCTGTCCCTGATTTCCCACCATTCTTGGAGATGCTGATGCAAAACATGACCTCTCTCTGAAAGAATGAACCTTCACACACACTCCCTTATTTGGCCTATGGTATCTGGGACCAGAACTCCAAACCCCCAGGTTACTGCCTCCCTCCTGACCCTTCTTCCCCAGCGGCCTTGTTAGATAGCCTTCTGTTGCTGGGCACAGCCTTCCAGCTGCTGGCAGCTGTCTCCCAGCCAGCTGGGCTCAGCTTTCTGGCCTGAGCCTGAGGGTGGGCGTGAGCTCAGAGGGTCAGCAGGAGTGTGCCTCTGCAGAAGACACTCCAAGGGGAGGGGGCAGATGGAGCAGAGGTGAGGGTGATGACTTCTGGACTGGCATTTGGATTCAAGTCTGGTTGGTGGAGGGGTATAGAGAGATCTGGCAGAGGGAAGGGCGGCGCCCCTAGCGTCCTGTGTCTGCTGGAGTGGGGGGACCGAGGGGGTAGGCAAAGGCTTTCTTTATTCAACTTCCTGCCTTTGCTGTCCCTTCAGCTCAGTGCTTGGAGAGTGGCCTGTGCCAGGGACCTCGATGTTCTTGGGGGAAGATACTGGGATCTTTACTATGGAACTCTGACCCTGGCCAAGGCTGTCAGATTGAGTGGGGAGGAAGAAGATTTAGAAAGTTGGGGAATGAGTGCTGCTGTCTTCCCAACTCTCAGACTGTGGCTTGGAGCGACAGGTGGGGCAGTGGGTGTGGTCTGAGTGGCAGGAGTAAGGCTAGGGCGTCTGGACCCCCAGCAGACTGGCTCCATTATCTCGCACTATCGCTGAGGGAGAGGCTGGGGCCTCAAATGGGTGATTTTGCCTTAACTTTCCTGTGGCTCGTGAGTTTCACCGTGAGCTGGAAAGGGCTGTGGGGGGCTGATCCAGTTCATTCCTCAGCAAAGATGGGGGGGTGTGTCTCTGTTACAGGTTCTTGAGCCTCATGTGGTGTATCTCCCAGAGCTCTGCCGCCCTCCTACAGCACCGGGGGACCTGCTGCCTTTGATCCTTGAGCGGTGCAGACAAGACCAGGAGAAAGCTGGCTTGTGGTGAGGCATCTACCCGCGATCCTTGCGCTCAGCCCCGCCTCTCCTTTGCTCCGTTCACCTCCTGCCGCACCGGCACCCGTGGACATGGGGCTGGGGGGTCAGCACTCTAGGGATGAGTGAGCGCCCTGAGCCGCCA